TTTTTTTTTTTTTTTTTTTTTTTTGTCAATCATTCTCATTTTTATGCCAAATTCATTCCAAAAATTTAGAACGATTTTGCTTTGTTATGTTTTAACAGAGATTTGGAATTTTTGGTTGTATCTTTTGTAAAACATATTTATGAAAATAATTACGTTTAAAAAAAACAACAACGATATTTTATCATTTGTAGATAAAAAATAACTAAATGAATCAGAGGACATGTAAATCACGTTTTAATGAAAAGTATATTTCATAAAAAAAGTGATAAGAAAATGATTCAAAATGATAAAAAAAAAAATCGTATATTATAACAAAAAGATGTTTACATGAGTAGTGTATTAGTGATAAAATTTTGTGGCAATTTTAAAAAGCATGTTACCATGATTGAAATGAAATCTTTAGAATATTTTTTACTTTTCGTTAAGTTGCATATCTTGCATAACTATATATGAAAAAAATAAAATATTTAAGTTCAAATAGGCGATTTATTTATATGTATATAATAAAGTGTACAGTCCAAATAATTAAATTTTATTTAGCATTTATATTGTTAATATTGATACCGTGATTATTGTAAAGTTCAACACTCATTTTTACGGTAAATTAATATTATATTAAAATGAATTGATAAGTCTAAAAAGAGATATGAATTGAATTAAAAAGATTGAATCGTGGTTAAATATCTTGATATCATAATTATACTATTTTTTAAAAGATATTCCATAACATTTGGTTCTATAATAATACTGCTTTTAAATATAATTGATTCCAAATAGCCGGATCTAGTGTTTAATCAAATATTATGGAATATCTTTTTAAAATATCTAATTATTAATTTATTTTTTGTTTCTTATTTATATTTTATTTTTATTTTGACCAATTGACAATATTATGTTTGATCACATTGTGCATGCAGATAATTTTTTAGATATAAAGTTGTGAACTTAACAAATATCTTATGTGGTTCATAATCCATATAAATAATTGACATGTGTCAAAATTTATATGATAACAACATTTAAGCATTGTAAATGCTCTTATTTTGTTTTAAATAATTTCAATATACTTCTATCCATTCCAAATAAAATTCATACTACTTAAATTCGAATATTTTGTACCAAAAATAAATCACCCACTTTATACCACAAAATCAGACATTTATTATTAACAACACATTTTCTATGGAAAAATAAAAATGGCTATCAGATACTTAAAATATAATCATCAACTTTATACCAAAGTTGGGTTTTTTAATTTTGTCAACTTTATACCGTAAATTAATTAAGTATTTTCTAGAAGTCATTTCTACATTTTGTCCAAAATATTTTTTAGCGGCATATAAATGTTATTTATATTTTTGTATTTAGTTATCTTGTCTACGAAGAAAAACATAATCTTGTAACTCTACTATGCCAACAAAAAGATGTATGAAAAATAACATAAGTATTAATTTATTATGTTTTACTCAATACATGAAATATAATATAGATATAAAGATTAAAGATTAATTCTCTATAATTGCTCAATCAAGTCTATATATTTAAAAAGATTGTGTACATTAATTACATTGATTTTTGTTAATTTACTATTTTTAGACAATAATTAATGAAATTGGCGGGAAAGTGTTTCTAAAAATAAATTATGTTAATCCTTATTATATATTAATAGATATCCCTACGTTGTTTTAATATATGCAATTTATAATTAATGTTCCGTGCATCGCACGGGCCACGTACTAGTAATGTATAATATGTGTATATATAATATTTTTGTACAATAAAATAAAACGGGACAAACGGGACGGTTCGAGAAAAAAATATTAAAAAACCGATACCAACATTGTTTCAACCGGTTCGATACCGAGAACAGTACGAAAATTTTAAAAACCGTGGAACCCTATTTTTCGGAACGAGACCATTTCAGTTCGATTCAGGATCGGGAAATCCGGTTTTCTTGTCCTAGAAAAATTGAGAACATAACTTTGTTATTCATTGCTTACCCCATACTAATATAAAATTTCAGAATATGACCCTCTTTCCAACTGGTAACACACGACACCATATTTTCTTTAAACATTGTTCTTTGTTATAATTAAATGCATGTTTTTATTATTAGAGCACAATTTATAGTATTAAATTTTCATGGTAAAGATAAAAATCCAAGAAAATGAATGCAGAATTGGTCCTGTAAGATCTGCAAATTTTGTTACAAGATTTCCACCTTTAATTTCTCTCGGGCTGTTTAGATTATTAGATGGGATAAGACCATATTTGTGTCTGATGAAAATTAGTTACTAAACACCAAATTTTTATCAAATCTTCTCTCTAGAAAATGAAAATGGTTGAAAGAGTAACAAAAAACCTAACATAAAAACATGGATTTTACATATTAATTTTCAGAAATTTGAGCGAGTTTTTGGGTTTCAATTTTCAACTTTCTGAGTCCAAACTCCAAAACCCATTTTGCCTCCTTTCTTCATTTCTACCCTCAATTTCTCAGGTAAAATCTCTCTCTCTCTCTCTCTCTCTCTCTCTCTCTCTGTGCGTGTGTGTGTGTGTGTGTGTGTGATTTAGTGCGTAAAATTTAAGCTTTGAATTTTTATTCTGAAATTTTGGAAACTTTGATGATATTAACGTAGGAAGATGTTGGATTATTAAAACCCCATTAGAGAAGCTCTTGCAGAAGAGTGTGGTGGGACATGAACAGAACATAAACAGAGTGGGTTTTACTTTTACATCAACTGCTCTTTACTTGAACTACCGCCATTATTGTTGTTATTTTCTTACTCTTGTCTTTTTTTAATTTTTGTCTGAGCACTGTACCATTAATTAGTAGCAATAATTTATTAACTTCCAATTTATTATTACCATTTTTTTTTTCTTTCTCTATTCTCCACACACACACACACCACACTGTAGTAATAATCACAACCATTCCATGATCCCCCACCGTGCATCAAATTCATAATTATTACATCCTCTCTCTCCCTCACACATTATTATTATTAGTATAATTGTTTGTTC